TTTTTCATCAGAAACCAAACTGTGATACTATATTGATTTGCCTACATCGCCATTTCTGTTTTTTGTTAAATTTTATGCCTGTCCATACTGCTTTATTAAAGAAAATTAAATTTGAAATCTTTGCTGTTAATATGATTGAGCCATTACTGCCTCCACACAAACACCTTGCCCCAAAGGCCTCTGTGATTGTCTCCTTCATCCTCACCTGGCTATATGCTACTTGGGAAATTCTTTCTTTGCATCAGTTTCTGTGCAAATCATCGTTATGGTAGAGACCATCAAAGTCTGCCTAAGGCTGGTTTCCCACTGTGGCTCTATATTTCTAACAAAAAGGCAAGGTCCCTGTAAGTGAGCTGGAGTACTTCTAGAGTGGGATCCCTGTAGATGGAATATCGCCTGCCCATCCTCTGTGCATCTGTGAGCTGCTCTTTGCGTGCGTTTCACTTGCAGTTAAGGCTTATTACAGAGCCTGAGACTTCTGCAATGTGTTAAACAGTTCAAAGCTGCCCTTTAGGATCAGTTTCTGGAATTCCTGCTTTCAGTACCTGAGAATGTGCAGAGGCAAAAGTCTCTACGTAATGAGGACAAATGCCTACTACACATTGTTGAATTTTTGAGGTTATGTGTGAAGTTAAAAGACACAATCAAATTACCCATTAGTGTGAGTGGAAGAAACACCAAATCTACTCTTCAACATAGTTTTCAAGTAATTTTCTTGGATCTGGAAAAAAATTAATCCCTAAATTAAAAATGCATTTGGACAGCATAATAATTAAGTTGAAAAGGGAGCAAAAGAAATTCAGATAGCAGGCAAAATAAACACATCCCAATAGACACATCCCCCAAATCTTTCAATATTTTTAAACAACTAATTTCTAAAAACATGCATTAGAAAACCCCTGTTCTTCTATAAGCAGGTAGTGTGGCATTCCAGTGTGAATGTGTTAGGCCAGACCACCATGTTCAGTGGAAGCTCAGATAATGAGGTTTCGGGAGAGATCAATGACTCTGGGGAGCTGGGTAGAGGTTATCTGAATTGTACTTTGACTTCATTCTCCTTATGTTCTGAGAACTGACTGAGGCTGAAATCACTAGTAATGATTTACCCATTAGACAGAGAACTTTCCAAGACAGAAGAGCAGTCCGGCTGTATCATGGCTACTGCACACAGCTCTCCTGTAAGTCTACAATGAGAGAAATACTTGGAACAGAAGGATATTTTAAGTTGTAAAGTCTGGTGAGAAAGGATAGGTAGTTTAAAGACCCAGAAAGAGAAAGTTTGAAAAAGACTACAATAGTTAAAGAGATTAGTGTTTTACAGAGACAGGAAAAGCCCCTGGACAAGATCCTCCCCACCCTAGTTGAAGCTTATGGGCATGTAAATGTATCTCCAAGGAGATAATGCAAAGTGAGAGTGTTGCCGACTGAGTTCCTTGCTCAGAAACAACATCCTGGAAAGCATTCCCTAGGTCAGCACAAGAGGGCCAATGCCGGTGTAGCCTGAGACTAGACTTCTCTGAAGAATTTTCTGTAAGATGCGCATTCCTATAACCACAATAAGATGCCATAAACGACAGCCTCCATGGAAACTTTCTTCTTGTTTTCTTAAGCAACTAATACGAATCTTAATCTTCCTTTTTGTTTTGAAGCAGGGTCTCACTTTGTAACCCAGGCTAGCCCAGAATTCTTTATGTAGCCTGGACAGGCTCCGAACACCTGGACATCCTCCTGTCTCAGGCTCCCATGTGCTACCATGTTAGGCTTCCTAGTGTGCAGACAGGGAGCCGGCCATGGCTGGGTAGGGCCATTTTCCTTCTTCCTCCCGGTTCCTCCCCTTCTGACATGAGACAAAAGCCTGGCAGCTGAAAACAAAGGCCTTGCAGACAATTCTGCCAGCAGCAGGACCCCTGCTGATAGACTGACGGAACAAGTTCAAGGCCTGATCAGGACCTGTTACGTAACACTTGGGTGGGGTCAATCAACTTCACTGTCTTTCTTCAAGCTGCCCAACCCTAAATTAGGGGAGGAACAACACCCTTCCGAGGCTTTCATGCCCCTTATCTCAGTTTTGGGATTGCTGAGCACCTTCCCTGCTTTGCACAGAGCCCCTTTCTCCGCGTGTCTTCTGCAAGTCTGCATTTCCTCATGCCAAAAAACATCTCCAACTGCTCAGTCTGCGGTGTCTGCGATTTCCCCACTGCTACCTGCAGCACTGGAGAATTTTCCAGTCTTTTAGTTCTTTAACTAGCAGGAAAAAGGAAAACAAAATTAAAACAAAAACAGGAGCACAATCAAAAGTCCCAGGCTGTATCACTGGGATCACAGGGCACCCGGGCAGCACTTCAATGAAGTCTATGTCCCCTTATCCCACCAGCTCAGTCAGGAGAGTCCACAGAGCACAAACACGGTGCGGTTACCTAATGAAGTACAGACACTGAATTTAAGGGCCATTCGATTTTAGCAGTTTTCATTCCCTTCTAAAGCCATCAAAGAAATCAATGGAGGCGTTCGGACAGCATTCGTTTTATCCTGGATGTCAATAATTAGCCATTCTTGTGTTGTTATGTTGGGGAAAAATGTAAAGAACTGCACTGCTTCAAAATACGCTTTCTGACACAGAGGTTATTTTTTAAAGTCAATGTTTTGAAAATAAATGTTTTTTTTTGTTTTTGTTTTTTTTTTTACCTAAAACAGCACTGTCCTCTAAGCAGAGGAAAATGTGCCCACATGTGAGACTTGTAAATGGCAGTCACCAAAAGCAGAAGACCAGCAATGATTTAGTTTACCAAACGAATAATTTAAATGCTGATGACAACAAACTTTCCCTGACACAATTTTTGTTTCTTCATATTTAACATGTTAATGTACATGGAATATACTATCATAGTATTTTACTGAAAATAGTGAAATAATACTAGCTACACAGAAAGTAGGAAAAACATCACAGCCCTTTCTTCTTCCGCTTTCTGTATTTTAAGATGACATTTGAATTTTGAAATTGTTGAAACCTTTTTTCAGTTAAATTGAGCTAAATAACTACTCAGTTTGGAATTATAAGCTTTTGTATTGCAAGATTTTCTTATGTTTCTAGATCCCTGAAGCTATTTTAAACTTTTATTACTATTTGTGTATGAAATTTAAAATCAACTATCACATTGATGGTTGACATGTTTAACTACATAATTTATTTTTTCCTACTAGCTTTCCATTATGAACCACATGTCTTTGAACTTGTGACTAGATTCCAGGGCCTGAGGGTTTTGAATGTTTTTCCAGAAGGCTTTCAATTCCTTTAATGCCTGCCTCTACCACTGGATTCAGTTCAAATTTTTCCAATATGAAGCATACTTTCAAAGTGCCTTGATTCCACATTTTAATGTTTTTAAAGAATTTTATCACTCTTAACCAAGGGTATTCACAATAAACATGTTTTAAAATTTGGTAATATTTTGAGGTTTTTTTGTTCAGTTTCAAAGATTAATTTCATAGACGTATCAAATAAGAACATACATATACATACACACACATACGTATATAGATAAAACAGTAGGATATTAGGTTTCTGAAATTGAATGACTCTATTTTTACAGTAGTGTTTATTACACAGAATATAAGGGAAATATGCTTATTCACCACTATGCTTATTCAATGAGAAAAGCTAGTGCTTTGCATTCAAATGCAAACAGTTTACTACACTTTTATTCTTAACCATATTTGACTTTGGAGTATTCTCTTACATTTACAGTAAGGAAATTATGTCAGGAACTGACGAATTTTCAAAGATACTGTCATTGTAATATTTATTTTTTAATTTGTATATTCACTTCAATTTTTTGCAATTAGTTAACATTCATACTTTGATTAGATGCATGAGTTTAAAATTCCAGTATAACATACTAGATACACAAAACATACAAACCTACATACACATATGGTTCAGTAGCCTTAAGCATAGTCCTGAGCCATGTTCCTCCTACTCCGACATTTTTGTTTACAAAGAAAGTTTGGTTTACTGCATTCTCCATACTACACAGTTATTCACCTTGATCTCATGTCTCACATTTCCATTTCCCATCTACTTTTTTATTATTGCAGGTTGTTCCTTTTCCTCCCTCCCCTCCTTCCTTCCTTCCTTCCTTCCTTCCTTCCTTCCTTCCTTTCTTCTTTCTTTCCTTCCTTTCTTCCTGCTCCCTCAGCCCAAACAGCCCCTGAAATCATCAGTGGTGTACTTCACTTGTTTTTTCAAATGCTATTATTATTTTTAAATTGGCACCTGCCTGCACTCACCTGCAGAACTTTGGGGTGTCTTATTGCTTCCCGGAACCCACGTGCTCTGCTTTCCTCCACAATCCTCAGTATTCACCTGTCTCTACAGAAGCACAGACCCAACCCCTTTCCACCTTTTCCATTTCTACGTTCCATAACAAAGCATTTATTTGGACTATGCAGTGATGAATCCCCAACGCAAATTCAGTGAACCAGCACAGAGAAAAGACTTCATATGAGATGAGGTTTTGTGAAACTATGGCAACACTGAAGAGCGGTATGGCCGGTGCTTAGCTGATTGCGTTTTCATTTGTAATGTGGAAGAGCTGCCAAGAAACTGAATCATGCTGACTATGATGGCAGATGTTCCCTAGAACTTTATGCTGGCTTAGAATGACCTGTGATGATTGGGATGTGAAGTTTGATACTATGCATAATTGCCTACAGTTTAACAATGGATGGAAACTCATTAAAAAGCAATGTAAATGCTATCATTTTCTAAAGGTACTGCAATTATAATAATGAGGAAACTGTATCTGCAATAATTTTTATTTTAGTGCCTGCAGATTGCATGTGGGGAAATTTCAAAGTAAGCCTTCATTAGCAATCTTTACATGCTACAAGACGTATTATTCTATTGATTTGCTTATTTATTCAATAAGGATTTATGAAATGCCTCTTACATACTACACACACTTCATCATCATTGACAAAATATATCATTGGTAACTTACCATGGGCCATGCGGTGGAACCAGTAGTAGCCAAAGTCAACTCCTAAGAAGGTTAAATACCACGTCCACTGAGAGTCCCAAGGCAAATCCAAAAGTCGGTAGTTCTCCCAGATATAAATATAGCTGGTCACTTCAAGGCTCCTGAAGAACAAACTGGCAAATAAAATTCACAGAGATGGTTATAGCATATTCTCTATCCATGATCGTGGTTATACAGTCTAATGATGTTCAGTATGAATATATTCATATATAAAAATGGCATCTGCTGCCATTCCACCGTGCTTCTTCGTGCTTTATCTGATTTTCCTACATCAGCATGAACACTACCCCGATGCTTTCTTTTGTTTCCTAGGCATATAGACACTAGTTATTTGCACTCTCCATTTCAAGAAATTTGGGAGACTTCCCTTTTTGTGTCTCTTAAAACACTTTTTATGGAACATTTCATACATAATAAATCTTACTAAGCTGCACCTTAATTCCTGTTATTGTCATTTCTGAGTTTTAATGAAGAATACAGCAAAAATAGCTGACAACAGGAGACTGAAAAGTTGAAAATTATACCTGGAATGATTCCTAAGGAGTCTGAAAGCTGCTTGCTGTCATTAAATATAATAACTAGTCTGAAGTGGCTCCCTCTACTCTCCTTTGTCCTCTCCTTTTATATCCCTCTTGCAGAAATCCTACCTTGATTGTGAAGTTATACTACAGGTACACATCCTTGCTAAGTCATATAAGAAACACTTGGCAGGGCTATCAGAATAGTATGAAATGATGTTCTACCAGAAATGAGGCATATAATTCTACTCAAAATGAACAAGTTAAAGCAACATAGAAACATAGTTAGAGAGATGGTTTGGTGATTAGAACACTTCCTGTTCTTGCAGGGGACCTTAATTCAGTTCATAACACTGATGTCATTTGGCTTACAACCTCCTGTGATATTCCTGTTTTTGGGGGAATGTGAAACCCTCCTCTGACCTCTGGAGGCACCACCCACACAATTATGTTACAAGCAAACATACAAGCACATCTCTCACACACACACACACAAACATACACACACACACATACACACACATACCACATACACACACACACTCATACTCACTCACACACAAAATGTAAATAAAATAAAAACTTTTTAAAGTTTAAAAATGGTACTTTTGCCTATTTTATAAAGTTTCTATAAATTTTTGTTTCAAACCATATCTAGTTTTATACAGTATAATTCATTTTGAATTATCTGTGATAGAACTTAAGATCACAGTAAAAAAAAATAATCAACACTTTATAAGTTTGGCTATATTTACTTTTTATTCTATATTTGTTTTTAGAATATGAAAAGAGCTGATCATTCCAAATTATAAAGATGAAATTATGAGCAACTAGCAAATCTATTGCTCAAAATTATGGAAAAATATTTAAATATTATAATTTGACATAAATTTAAGTAAGTATCAAAGAAAATTTTATTATCACAATGACCCCCTTTAATAGTATTTCTTTTGAAAGGGAGTTTCCATGAATTAAAACGTTAAGTTGTTATTTGCAGAACATGAATTTAAAGTTTTTTTAATCATGCTATTGTTTTAATTATGAATTCACATATTTGAAATTTTCTCATACTCTTTCACTATCTCACTCTTATTATTTAATATATACAATAAAATACTAGACTAGTTCAATGTAACAATATATAAAATCCTTTGGTTGTCACGTTGCAAAGGACAACAGTCAGTGTATACTACTAAGTTTCCAATTTGTGATGGCATGTCTGCAAGTTTTGTTTGTGAGATTGAGTGTTTATCCCAAAAGAATTCTCATCTTTTACTTTTATACTAATACCAATTTGAGGTATGTTCTAGGTTCATCTGAGTCTCTGGCCTAACTGGTTGATAAGTCTTCTAGGGTTCCTATTCTCAGAGCAAAGTGAGGGTCAGGCATTCGAACTGTGAAGACTGCTAGGCTTGCCTAGATGCCCAAGATTAGCCGCTTTGAGACAAGTAGAAAAGTACTGCTGTATGTCAGGCAGGGATATCTAAAGATGAATGTCCTCATTGCGTAAGAAAGGCCATAGGCCCTGATATTTCAGAGGCATGAAGAACTGGAAGCTACAACCTAATTTTTAAAACTTTTCCAAGGATGTTCATCAAGAAAGGGTTTAAACAAGTTTTAATTTAAAGGTGCCCAGATTGGATAGTAATTTATAATTTTAGAGCAAGTTTCCTTTCAGGTTGAAGTGCTGAACACAGGATTTTTTAAATTAATTTTTTATTTTAATTTTAAATAGCTTGTTTTACATGTCAATCCCAGTTCCCTCTCCCTCCTCTCCTCCCTCACTCCCCCATCCCCACCAGCCTCCCACCCTATTGCCAATTCCTTCCACATGGGGGATCTCTAGAGTAACACAGGATTTTTTTTTTTATGGTCCGAGTTATTAAATTCTCTAACTGTGAGATTTTAACCATGATGTTGCTGCTACTTAGGGCCAGATGACTCTTTGTTAGGAAAGATGTCCTAGGTCCTATCAAACTGTAGAAAACACCCTACCATCTCTTGAGATTCAGCAGTGCCACTCCCCTAATCATCTGTAACAACCATGTCTCCAGGCATTGCCAAATGTTTCCTGATGAGCAAATGTGTCCCAAGTTGCTAACCACTGGCTTAACGCTCTAGAAAGAAAAATTAAAGCATAGAAAATCCAACAGCAGTTCAGCATACTGAAAGATTCTTTTGTAGGCAAGCTTTGTTACAAGGTATCAAGTTAGACTTAACTACAGGTTTATCAGTCACTTGTTCACTCCATGCTGGGAGCTCTCTCAGTCTCAGGGACAGCACCGGGTACAAGGGCATATTGTTGAACATGGACTACAGTCATCTGACTCAACAGTTCATTGTGTTCTTAAAGCTTTTGCTATCATCTTTGCTGGGGACACGTGAGACAAGATTAAGACACTGTCTATCCCTCAATCAAAAAGATGCTTTAAAACATTTATTTGTGAAACCCAGAGAGCAGGCTGGCTGAAATCAAGTGCTGGTTATTTCCTGTACGTGTGTCAGGTATTAAACAGACATCTCTTCTATTATTCTGTCAAGGGCGCTATTAGGGCTGAGACAAATTGAGCTAAAATATGCTCAGTACACTGTGTCAGACCTCTCCCCGTTTTTTCACTTTAGCAGAAGCCAAACTTTCTTCAAGGTAAGAGACCAGGGAAATATGGAAGTTTTGTGGCCTGCTTTCTCTCAGCTAGGGGAACATGATCTTGTTCCGCTGTACATGTGAAAGAACTCAGTGCCCACAACTAAAACAATTTTCTCAGGCCATACATCTGGGAAATTATTATCAAATTCTGGAAAGCCCTTGATGGCAGGAAATAGCACCTACGTTTGCAAAACTGTTCCCACCAGATCCGGAATCATAAACCAGAGCTCCTTCCTTTTTCTGTTCCCAGGTCCTCCGCCCTCATCCCCAAAGCCCTGGAGTATGACTCTGCATTCTGGAATTTTAACCTGACCTCTCTAAACTCCTTTCAGTGGGGAGAGAAATACATAACTTGAATGAATAGATGTAAGAGTCTCACTTAATCACATGACCGGAATGATAAGAAACCCAGGGTCTTTCTTACAGATACTCATCCTCTTCCACATGGAATATGGATGTGAAGTCAAGGAAATGATCTGAACATCAGGAAACATTAGGACCTGCTATGTAGTGATCAGTCTGCACAAAGGCTTTTGTTTATTCCTCAAAAAATGTTCATGAACTCCCCTCAAACAGCGGCTTTCTCACATTAGGAATATGTAGTAAAATTTGGGCCAGTGTATGAAGAGTAAAGTAATTCATACAGGTTTGTCTTCCAACCTCAACAAGTACGCTGTGACATGGCATCACGCAAATACACACAAACGTACACACACACACACACACACACAAATGTATACACACACAAATGTATACACACACACACACGCATACTTAATTGAGTGTTAGACATAAGTTTCTTTCTGAGAAATTGACTGTATATTTATTTCAAACCTTCCCATAACTGACCTCAGACCTTGGGCTGTCTGTCTGGAGAGCTCCTGCCACTTTTGCTCCATCTAGTGGAATACTGACTTTTCAATATCTCAGCAATAAGATACAACTCCTGCTTTCTATAAACCGTCACAGCCTTTTTTTGCGCTTCTCACTGTAAAACTGTATTGCATTTATAACATGATTGTCTCATTTCTTTAAAGCAACCATTAAGCTATAAATACATTTGTTCCAGTCTTTACAATACAATGTGCTACTGTATTGAAAAGTGTGGAAGTCCTGCCTGGGAACCCATGAAGCTATATTTATTGCAGAAGGCAATGTCATCGAAATAACAGATATTTTAAATCCCTAGCCCTACTTGAAAATACTTTTTAAGGGTTTAATTTCTTCATTTTAAAATTTTTTATGAACTGACCTTTTTAGTCCAGAATGGAAAATTCCATTGCAGGCATATCCAGTAATTCTGTGCACTTATGGTTGAACATTATACAACTAGCACCGTACATAGTAAAAGCTGGCCATGACATCTAAGTATTAATAGTGGAATGTCCTCAACTTATTTGAAAATTTACCTACTTAAACTATCCCTTGCACCTATTGTATTTTGATTTATAATCTGCTGTTTCAACAGAATAAATGAACCCTTAAAAATGAACATACTATAGATATTTATATCAGGAATAAAACTTCTCTGGGGAGAATGCAGTTTAAGGAAATGGTAACTCAGGACGGAAGCAACAAATCGAGGTCCAGGATTTCTAACGAAGGATTGGAAGCCTAGTTCTGCTTAATAAAGCAGGGGAGATGTGATTATTTTTCGCTCATTAACATGTAAGTTAGTAGTGTAGCATTTTGGAAATCATGTTTTGAAAAAATAGATTTGGCACATGTTTCATTCAATCGAGTTTAATTTTTATCATTACATATGCAAATAATAGGCAGAAAAATAATTGATCTCTAAGATACACCTTGTTCATTATGATCAGTAGAAACATCTTTTTACTACTCCAGTCCTGGGTTCTGGTTAGAAGACTGACTACAGCATTTCAAAGGAGCAAAAAAATGAATTGCCCAGAAACTGTTGTGTGGCAGATGGACTTGTATTACGAATGAAGGCCTGCCCAACAGCCTTGTAAACAAGAAACAATGCTGTCTATGGTTGATATTTTCTTGCACATAAGAGAAAGGTGTGCCACATGTCTTTCCTATGGATACAGTAAGCAAGCTATTACTTTTAAAGAGTAATGTGTGCAATCGTAATATTGGGTTTGTCAGATAAAATTGTTTTTCTTGAAAGTCTCCAGACAACACTTCTATTGCAAAAATGCAGAACTGGAAAGAGGCGCTTGCCCTTTTCTCTATTTTGTTAGAAGCTACCGAGAATTATTATCTGAAACACAATTCTCCACTAGCAGATTAACTAATGGTATAGTATTGTGTTTCTTGCAATTACATACTTTAAGGATGTGGCAAGCCCCGTTGCTAGTACTGAAAATGAACTGGATTCCTTGGAGAGGCAAGGACCCACGCCATGTTAATCTAACCCTCAGCTGCTAATGATTTGCACAGAGATTCATTCGAATGCTGCAGCCTCAACTGAAATACTAGTTGAAGGTGATGTCAAGATTCTTTTCAATGTTTTCTTTTCCCTTCTTTTTTCTTCCTTCCTTCCTTTCTTTCTTTCTTCCTTTCTCTCTTTCCTTCGTTCTTCCTTTTTCCTATTTTTGGTGAGGAGGCAAAGATCAGGGAATCTAGAGAACCATGTTTCCTTTTCTGTTTATACTTTCATTTCAAAGTAGCAGTGAAACAAAAAAACATACATTTAAGTGTAATGTTCAGGTTGATTTTTTTATTGGGCTTTTTCATAAAATCTGCATTGGAAACTGAGAAACTTTTGAAAAAAACATTTTTAATGGCCATTATTTTATAATTTAGTATTTTTCAAACTCAAGAAAAAAAAACAAAGACCAGCAATTATTATTATAATTTAAAATATAATTATTATATTTAAATTAAATTATAATTACACATATAACTGCATAAAAACACTATATAAGTTTAAGTTAATAATGTTGTACATTTCCTCAAAGACAGTTGGTGGCGCACACCTTTAATCCCAGCACTCGGGAGGCAGAGGCAGGCGGATGTCTGTGAGTTCGAGGCCAGGCTGGACCAACAGCCTCCAAAACAGAGAAACCCTGTCTCGTAAAAACCAAAAAAAAAAAAAAAAAAAGAAATCTATATCTAGCCAGGTGGTGCTGGTGCACACCTTTAATCCCAGCACTGGGAAGGCAGAGGCAGGTGGGTCTCTGTGAGTTTGAGACCAGCATTGTCTACAAGAGCTACTTCCAGGACAGTCTCCAAAACCACAGAGAACCCTGTTTGAAAACCCTTTACCCTTCTCCCCCCAAACAACAACAACAACAAAAGAAATCTATATCTAAATCTGTATCTAAGAGTATATATACATGGAAGGGGCTCATGCTCATTTCTGATGCATGAATCCACATAATAAAGGAATTCATCAATAATTTGAGTTGTTATTTAGGCAATCTGATGCTTACTCAGAGGAATAATCTTCCATCAATTCTGACATCAGCGTGGAACCACACCTGTAAGATACTCAACTCATTATTTTATGACTATAAATCTAATGACACAATTTACTCAAAGTTACACACTGATGTGTACTTTTAAGATTTACTTTCTACCCAAACATATTATGAAATTGTATTAAGTTATTGTGCCTCTGCTCAGATGTATTTCAGGTTTAATGTTGTTTATTTTTTTTAAATCCACCTTGATTTCCCACTGTGTGGTTCTAAAAGAAACATTTCACAGTGAGGAGCTCAGATCATAAGTGAAGCTCCACAAGCATTAACAGGAAGCAGGGAGGTTGTACTGAACACACTCTTCCCCAGTTCAAAACTAAGCTCCCTGGGGGACTTTTCTTTTGGTCCCCACTTGTTTGGTTAATTCTTTTACAGAAAAAGTACCTCCTGTCCATCTGTTGGGTTTTCCTCTGGTGCTTCTGAATTCACCTTCTACTGTAGGCCATTTATTGATGGATTGGTCTCTTATTTGCCCAGATCTGTCATTAGCATGAATAACACCACAAAGGAAATTATTTTAGAACACTTGTGATGTACCAGACATCATTCCAGGAGTATGAAATAAAATGCTGACATGAGCAAGACTATTGATTTCAAGGCGCATGAAAGTTAAGGAGTGCTGTCATGAAGAGAAGAACCTTCAGTCCTGGGATGATTGTGTGTTTGGAGTGAGCATAAGAGTCAGAGCATGTAGCAGAGGTGACCAAATCAAGGATTGGAAACAGATGAGATTTGCTGGTTACGTCCATGCTTAAACCTAAGAAAAGAACTGGAGGCAACCACAGGGGTGGCACTCTAGTCGCAACAAAGTGCCTCAGAGATGTGTCATGACAGGATAAAGATGACTAAAGGACAGAGAGATCAAAACAGACAGAAAATAAACTTGTATGTTTCAGGAATGAAGCTCTACTTCATGTCCAGGGAAATATGGAAGCAGAAAAAGACTTCCTCATGGTTCATGTGATTCACATATTTGGGTACCAGCAGAACAGACTTGAATCAAAAGTAAGAAAGATTTGTAATTGTTCACATAATTATGTAATATTCATTGAGAAATATCTGAGACCTAGGGAGATATCTGTGGAAATGTGGCTAGAATAAAACATAATTTCCAGCAAAGACCTGGATAAAAACTCAGAGCAATGTCTATAGTAAGGCAGGAGAAGGAGTCACTTTGGGTAAAAACTGTAAGATATGAGGAAAACTGAGTAAGACTAGCAATATTTAGATGGAAAGTCGGTGCTGAAAAACATAAGAAAAATTTTGAAGAATAACAGATTGAAAGTTCTTTAGTGATTTATAGAGAAATACGTCAAGTGTCCACACGATTTTCCCTCTGAATTGTTGTGGATCTTCATTCATTGTTCTAAACCATGTGACTCACCTTGGAAGCCGAGACACAACACCAGCTGACATGGATGTAAGAATATCATCGAGGCGTCCTGGTGGCTTCCCCTTGAGAATCCAGCTGATGACTAATTCAAGCAGAATCAAGGATATGAAAAATGGAGTTGCCTAGAAATGAGATTTCATGGAAGAGATGTTATTCTGTTCGATATGAAACCCACATTTTTTGATACCTTTGGGGGAGGGCCACACCAACAAGAGGTGGTCTACATTTATAAGGCAGAGTTATTTCCAAAGGAATGAGCAAGGAAATTTAGTTACTTTTTATATACTCTAAAAACATGTTCAAAATCTACCATGTAATTTTCAAATGAAATAAAAGCATAAAAACAACTAGCACTATTATGACAGGAGAACAATTAAAATCGGGAAGGAGATGCTCCCATTCAAGAAAATACATTTAAAATTAGTTAAGCCTGTAAGAGTGTATCTTCTGCCCATAGGCAAGTTAGAGTCACTCTAAGGGAACTTCTTGAAAATACCCTCATTAGAGTTTTTAAAAATTGGACTTTCTAGAACTACTTCTGATGATGACATGAAAGTAGCAGTAACAAAACCCACGACTCTTAGGAAATAAGGTAAATTCTTACAATTGCATCAAGGTTTCACTCATTCAGCTTTGATTTTGTGCTTTTGTAAAAATGAGTATTCCACTACTAACCAATGCACATTGAACAGGTTTGATGTTGTAGCCTACATAATAATAATTCATGAAGACAGGAGTAGCACATTTTTCTTCACTGAACAAAACATGGCACTATCAAACGTCAAAAGCAATATGGGCTCCACTCATTTGGAAACTGATAATGAGTCTGAAGTTTTCTAAACTGTACTCCCTAGAACTCACTCTGTGATGTCATGCTTTCCCTATTTCTGGTCTGAACTAGTATGTGTTGTAGGAACAACTTTCACAGGGTGGGGCGCATCAGGGTTCAGGTTCCAATTTTGGATATTTCCACTTCCAATCATGCCCAAGCAACAGAAATGAAAAATGCCTCAAAGGCCTGAAATGTTAAAAAAAATGGTTCAAGTACAAACTCAGAAAATTAGAATTATACTGGGCCAAGCTGTGCATCCTTCATTCTGTGGAACTACTCTACCAAATTAAAGAGAAAATACCTTCCTGGAGGTAGTGAAGTTAATTTTAAAACAAAATTATTACAGTGCTTACTGATATAATATAATTACTTAGTATTGCTTTCCAACAGCTAAATTTGCAATGTCACCTTGCCCAGAAATACCTTGAATTTTTCTCATATCCTAGAGTGATGTATAAGGGGATTTATAGACAAAGATATAGATATTGTATTGTTCTCTTTAAAAACAAATACTTTTGCTTCATGACTGTAAGAAACTGGATTTTTTTTGAGACTGCAATACTTTGAAGTAGGATATTAAATGAAACCCCAGGATATTTTGAGTTTACATTGTAAGAAAAGGACAAGAGAACCTCTTTTAAGAGAGCCTCACCTTTTTAACGTAATCAGGCACCTCTTCGACAGTTTGGAAGGTAGTTTCACTGGGCTTCATCATGTAAAACATCATTCGAACACCCTGGGAAACTGAAACATTGTCTTGGGCTCCTGGGCTCTTCATTTCTGTCCCTGTCTCGTGATTCGGAGAAGCCCGAGACTGAAGACAGAAAGTGAGCTGTGCAGCACTGAGCAAGGCTTGTCAAAGAGAAGCTAGGCACAAAGCTCTCCACAGGGACGGCAGCCAGCAGCAGAGTTTGTGTGCACAGGCACGGAACGCTAGCAACAAGAGCGAGTTCAGAGTTCAGTGGCTGACGCCCCAGGAAGCAGACATAAGTAAAGGAGGAAGACTCAGAGAAACAGGCACCCAGTGTAGTTTGCCTATATCTCAAGTAATCTGCCAACAACAAAAAAGGAAAACCCAATAAATAAAGCACATCCAGTTGTGCCCGATAAAATGAAAGGGGAAAAACAAGCAAAGCAGTTTTCTAACGCAGGTGAAAGTTCACTCTGATAAAGTGGTAGGAGTCCAAAAGTCAGATTGCAGGAGCAAAATTGTATTCTTCCTAAACTACAGATTTTTTTGAACTTGTTGTTACTTCACAGAATCCTATCTTTGAAGCAACAAAGAGTCTGAGTAATAATTAGTGCATGTCTCTAAGCTGGAGAGCCCGGCTTCTTACTGCTTATGTATTCCTAATCTCACTCATGTGAACTTTTGGATGTTTTGCAAGCAAATTCAGAGCCATTAGGTTTCATTTCAAAGTAAACCCACAATATAAATGTTTGAAATGCAGACAATTCTCATTACAGATTAAAAAGAAAAAACATACAAGTGTGTACAGATTATGTACAGCAGAGGGTTTCTTTTCTGCCTCTTGTGTGTTTATGAAATTACAAATGTGGTACCAATGTGTAACTTAAGTATAAGTAAAGCATAAAATGGCAACAGCCCTCCGTCTCTTATTGGAGACACTCTGCAAATGACATCAAACAGGACACCTCCCCTCCCTGTGGGAACAGATAAGAGGAGCGACTCCCTGCTTTTCTTATCTTTCAAGTTCTTACTCCTGTTTTTTTTTAATTGATAAAGATTAAGTAGATTAAAGCTTTATATGGTGGGGTTTGCGTTCACAAGATAGCCACTTGCCCTTGGCTCTGCAGTCACTGGTACAGCTTCACGCAGGGAGTCACCACCTTGCATTTCCTTCCCCAAGTCCTCTGGGCAAGTCTGGGACTTTCCTGTGGCAGCCTCTCTAGAGCAGTCTCCACAGTCTCCATACTCCACAGGTGCCCGGGCTCCAGACGCCACTGGAGTTAGCTCCTCACCACCAGGCAGTCCTGTCTTTGGGCTGCTCTGTGCTCTCCCTTCCCGCCTGATACATGGGCTGCCTTTGCACACTCCCACATGTCTGCCTTTCAGATGGCTGCTCTTCGGCTCCTTTTCCCTGTGGGCGGAGGGCTTCCACTGGACCCCTTCGTTGGTCTGCTGTCACACTAGGGTAGCTGCCTCAACACCCTGATAGGGGATGGGATGTTCTTCTGGAAGCTGTGAGTATGTTTCTCTTATTGGTTGATGAATAAAGCTGTTTTGTCCAATGCACAGGCAGAATTTAGCCAGGAGGGAAATCCAAACAATAATAGAGCAAGGTTAATAGACAGAGTCAGGGAGACTTGATGCATTTACCAGGAAGATAGGACACCTGAGCATTCTCCGGTAAGCCAAGACCTCATGGAGATACACGGATTAATAGAAATGCGTTAATTATTAAGAGAGAGGTAGCCAATAAGAAACCCGAGCAAACGCCCAAAGAGTTTGTACTGAATATAAGCCTCTGTGTGTTTATTGGGAACTAAAAGGCTGCGAGACTGGGTGGGACAGAAACTTCTATCAACAACACTCACATGGGAAACTGCCATACAGTCTCAGCTCACAGCTATATGAGAGCAGCAGCAGCCTTCCTCACCCGGGTTTGCACCGCCTGTGTTCTCTATGCAGACATGCTACACAATGATGGCCAGCCTTACACTTCAATCTCAATGTCAGCAGACTTGGTGAGACTACTTGGAGTCCTTAAAGGGGGCAATTAGTTTAAAGAAAGAGTTTCTTCCCATGTTAAAAACTGGAAAATGGTGTTATGACAGAGGGAGTAGGTGTCTGTTTGAATCCATAATGGATGGTTTGAAAATGGAACGATTAAATGAGGAGATAATTAACTTAGCTGGGGTGTATGTAACGTCAATTATGTCATTATTGGTTTGGTGATTCTTGTTTTATCCCTGAACTGACTGATAATATACAGGCCTTAGAAAAGGTTACTAGAGAAAATAATGCAATTTTGGCTGATAAGATATAAGCTTTAGAAAAACTTATTCAAATAGATGATAGAGATATTCATACATAGACAGAGGAATTTAATAGGGAACTACCCTCACCATTACATTATGAAATTAAATAGGAGCGGTCCAAGATTATTTAAAAAATCCATCCTTTTTCCTGTAGCCATACAGAAGCAACCACCAAACGACAGATATTCCTAGGTCTATGGAAGAGCTCATAAGGACCCTATGGAAATGTGGATTTGAGGAGATTTAAGGAATACCTTTACAAATTAAGAGTGACAATGCTCCAGCACATGTCTCAAGAGAAATGAAACATGTTTCTGCATATTACAAAATAAAGCATATTACAGGTATACCATACAATCCTACAGGGCAGTTATAGAAAGATCTAACTGAACTCTACAAGATATGCTTAATAAACACAAAGGATAATAATTATCTACACAGAGAGATTGCACAATGCTTCACTATGGAAACATTGGATAATAGAAAAAAACTGCTTAATTAAATCAGCCTGTATGCTTTAAAGATAAGTTGACCTCAGAATCGAAACCAGGACATGTGTTACATCGGGGAAGAGATTTTGCTTTTATTTTCACAGGAGAAAAAAAGCTATGGATACTATCAACATTGACAAAGATTATTTCAGACAAGAGAGAGACCTCTTGATTAGAAAAGGTGACAGTCTGACCATTTAATCTAAACTAATTTATAAAACTAACAGGATTTCGTGTTTGTCTTTCCAGAAGAATGCCGGCATATGAAGATCACTGGACTAATGAGACATCTGAGGATAAAGGAAAAATCATCCAGAGAAAATGCCCCAAGAAAAAGAGTCAATTAGCTTATCGGTATATTACATTTCCAACAGGATATAATTTCAAAAAATCTTCCCAAACTTTGTTTCTTCTGTTCTCTACAAACTTATAATGCAAATGGTCTTTTTATAGTTCCAGTCCAATTAAAAATTAAAGCTGACTTTGAAGTTGGAGTGGGACTCTCTTCTTTAAACTCAAGCATCCTTGCTAAAGTAAATCCAAAATCTCTGCTTCATGTCCCAAGAGCCACCTCATATGAAACAGAAGAAAAACCAACATTAAGGGAGTGTTGTGAATTATCACATAACTCTTTGGTTTCTTTTAAACCCTAACTTTTCTTATAGTATAAATATTATCTGAAAATTTATAAAATTAGTATATATAAACTTTTCATCACAATATCAATGGTCATATACATTGCTAATTAATTCTGGAAAGAAATTTTAGCTTCATGTACATGATTTCAGGTTTGAGTCTCTGTCAGGTAACTAGGAATCAAGTTTTTGTACTCTAGATGTAGATAACAAATTATAGACCTTTAACCTCTTTTGAGATTTGCTGCATATGACCACACCTAACACAGATGTTTGAAGTACCCAAAAGGAGAATGGACCCCACAGTGATGATTCAGTCTGGATTTCCATAATGCCTCTATTCTGACAGACACCACCCAAAGATCATCGTTGAACTACAAACTGTTAAGAACAATTTCCAAGTGACTAGCTGAGATGGATCAGCCTCACAGACTACTCTAGCCAGGACTTGAGATAAGCCCTGGATTTTCCCATTAAACAGAGACTGGGCAATAAATTATACAGCTGGTTCTCCCAGGACTTTAAAATTATTCCATTTCTTTTCAGTAGAAAGCAGTTTTAAGAACATGACACTCACATTCCCAAGACATGGGGTGGACAGTTTTTGGTCATTCAGTGGGTTATAGATATTTGTCATCGTTTAAAAGGGGGTGCAATGAGATGTTATTGGTAATATCTGGAAAAAAGCTGAACAAAGGAGATTAGATTCAGGGGTCTTGCTCTGAAAAGAAAAAGGGGCATATAGAAATGACAGAATAAAAGAGTAGCTTAATGAGTCTCCTTTTAAACCAAAAGAGCAACTACTATTCTTAAATATTTTACACTGGTATGGATTTTTGTATATTGAAATGCATTTGAGGTATTTTTTGATATACTGTATACATATTTCTACTCTTATTTAAGATAATTTTTATATTGACACAAATTTAAAGTTATTTGGGTCAAACCAACTGTATATACATTTCTATTCTTGTTCAAGGTATTGTACCTAAACAGCTCATTTAGCAATGTACTGTAAATATCTACTCCTTGAAAGTTATTATCACAAACTATTATCACAAAATTAATAAAGAAATGCAGTTTAGTAGTTGGTCACCTATTCCATTTAAACTCACAATCATGCTAGGTATGTTTAGAAGATCAAACACAGATGTATTTTAGATAGACAGGTGGTCTTCAAACACTTCAGAGATCTACTGAATATGGTATTTAAAATGTTTTAATAACATAAAGTTTGCCTTTTTTTTATAATGATGAGACATAACTGCTTATGGCAGCACCAATCTACTTCAGAGAAGATGATTGGCATCAAAGAAACTTCAAATGGAGTTTACTTCCTTTGTGACAAAAGATAGCCACTGGGCAAGAAAGTGCCCTCGACTTGATTGCTGAGAGTTTCTGACCAAACTGGAGAAAGAGGACAAACAAGAAAGTGACTTCTGAAACTTGCCCAAACAAGGTGGGACAGTCCTTCAAATTTCCTGCTTCACAGCAAAGTCTGTCAGATATTCGGGACCTGGAGGCCAAAGAAAGATGCCCCAATGTTACAGAGGAACCTTGGGTGACTATCCAAGCAGCCACTAGTGTCTGTCATTTATTAGTTTGGAAGTTGTTTGCTCTGAACTGCCTGTTTATTCAGGTAATATCTCATCCTCCCCAGGTCTCTGATGGAGTTGGAGACTAGATAGTTATAGTTTTCCTTTACCAAATTCAGAAAAGAAGCTTACAAAAGACATAAAATATGCAAGGTTGAGGGATGTAAAGAGATAGTTTTTGGTCAGTAATGCCCAAGTTAGGATAGAAAGTGAATTAAGTACAACATTTGGTCTCACCAAGACAGGATAGATAATGGAGTATTTTCTCTGAATTTGTCAAATGCAAGTGGACTGAACATTGCTAATGTAATTATTGACTGTATAATTTTATTGTACTTATTGCATACAGTTTTACCATGTTACTTAAAAACTTTACTTTTTTATTTAGACAAAAAGGAGGAAATGTTGTGTGACATTTTGATTGGAGTCAGAGGGCAGAACTAGCCACTAGTTGACCAAAACTAATCATAAATGTTTGGAGGACCATAGACAGAGAGGAGACAGGAAACAGGAAGACAGAGCTGAAAGGGGATCTTTGCCCTTTTGGACAAAGGAATGGAAAAATGGAAGGTAACTTGTGGCTGCTCCCTGCTTCTCTAATCCCTCAGGTACTTACCCCAATATATAACTCCTCATTTTTTCCACTTTTGTATTTAAATTAGAAACAAGCTTGCTTCAAATGTCAATCCCAGCTCCCAATCCCTCCCCTCCTTCCCTGCCCCCACCAAACTCTTCAAATCCCCACCCTATCCCCCCTCCATTCCCCAGTGAGGGTGAGGACCTCCATGGGGGATCTCCAAAGTCTATCATATCATCCAGGGCAGGGCCTAGGCTCTACCCCATGCGTCCTGACTGAGAGCATCCCTCCATATGGAATAGGCTCCCAAAGTCCATTTGTATGCCAGGGATAATTACTGATCTACTACTACCTGAGGCCCTATAGATTGTAGAGGCCTCCTCACTGATACCCAAGCTCAGCAGGTCTGGATCAGTCCCATGTTGGCCTCTGAGTCATCAATCTGGGGTCCATGAGTGCCCACTTGTTCAGCTCAGATGTTTCTGTGGGTGTCACCAGCCCAGTCTTGACTCCTTTGCTCATAGTTCCTTCTTCTCTGCAACTGGGCTCCAGGAGTTCATTTCAGTGTTTAGCTGTGAGTGTCTGCCGCTTCTTCCATCAGCCACTGGATGAAGACTCTAGGATGGCATATAAGATAGTCATCAATCTCATTATCATGGGAGGGAATTTAAGGTAGCCTTTCCACTATTGCTTAGATTGTCAGTTGGTGTCATCCTTGTAGATCTCTGAAAATCTCAATAGTGCCAGATCTCTTTTCAAACCCATAATGGCTCCCTCTATTATGGTATCTCTATCCTGCTCTCCTCTATTCTTCCCCTGACTCAAACTTCCTGCTCCTCCATGTCCTCCTCTCCCCTCCTCTTCTCTTCCTCTCTTTCTCCCAGCTCCCTCTCCCATCCCGTTCCCCCATGCCCCGAATCTGTTCATGAGATTCTGTCCCATTCCCCTCCTCTGTTGTATCTTGCATATGATATGACCTCTTAGGGTCCTTCCTGTTTCATTTTTTATTGATGAATATTAATTAGATTAACCCTTCAGGATTCCAAGACAAGAAACTTTCACTTTTCCTTGTCAGGGCCTAGCTTTTCAAATGAGGAAAAGTGGACTTGCAGGGTGAGCTTCTGTTACCTCTTCTATGTCAACCTCTTTAGTCTTTAGAACCAGTTTCTAAGGATTAGACAAGAGACTTTTCCTCCCAGTTTGGTCTTAACAGTATATTTCTACTATTGTGAGCATTCATGCTATTCACAGGTATTATAGAAAAAGCAAAGAAGATAATTATGATTGCACTTTATGTGTAATTTTAGGTCCAGCTTGTTAAAATTTAGAAGTCACATGGTGAAATGAAAAAACAAACTTAAATTGAAAGGTATCTGGACCTATGAAAAGTCCTTTTGAAGATAGCAGGACATCATGTGAGCAAATGCTGAGCTTGTAGTGTGTAATATGCAACTGCTTGAGACTTCTTTACTTAGCAACTATCATTACCCAAAATAATATTAACAGAAAGGAGGGGAAGTTTAAAACAGGTGAGTCACATGTTTCAACTTAAGTCTTAAAAAAGTCAATATTGTTTTCTTTGTAAATAAACTGGAATTGGATCTTTGGGTGCAAGGAGGAATCCCCAGACACCTGGGTGATGCAGTAGAGTGAAATTAGAAAGATGTATCTGGGTTCATAATAGTCACAGAGCTGATAAGGATTTAGAAAACAATGAAAGGAAACAATTGATTTGAAGATTTTGGCTTAATCTACTGATAGACAAGATGTTCTTTACTGAGATTAGTACACTGAAGGGGAAATCTGAGCTGTATACAGACTTCTAGATTCAAGCAGTTACAATTATAAATCTAGAATTCAAAAACCAAAATAAAAAATTTAGCTTTGAATAGCACAGGAAAGACTAACAAAATCACTACAGATAAAAAGTAATTTTATGTGTAGCAATTTTAACTATGTCCATATAAATAAATAATTCTAATTTTAATCTTAAAACTAAGGTTAATATTACATTAATTTCATTTTCATGGCACAGTATTCATATCAAATGTTAATATTATGAAATACAGTTTCATAATGATTGAAAATAGTTTCATTATAGAAGTAATTGAGAAAATACTCAATTTGTATTTCAATAAAGTATAGCAAACTTGTTTTAATATTAATAAATGTCCAGATTCCTTTTCATAGACAATGTGTTTTCAACATTCCCATGAGTATAAGAGTTGTTCTGGGTCTCATGCTTCTGAAAACTAGGTATGTGTTGGCTTATGTTCAGGGTTTGCTTTTTCTTCCTGGTGTAATTTACTGCATTATTTATGTAACATATTGCTGTCATCATATGAAGGCAGTTATTTCCCTTACTACTGTGTGCCTATATATTTTGACACTATTTTTATAGAGTCCAGTTAGTATTGTCTCTAACATTCTGTCACCTCCTCGAATGGACACTTCATCTTAGAATACAGCATCACAGGAAAGATTTAATAACACACACTACTTTCTCAGATCAGAGTTTATTACTTTGGGCCCAATCCTCTACATGACACAGTAGAAAAATATCAGGTAGAAGATTAACTTTAAAGAAATTGATGACATACATTTGAAGTAGGATCATGAAAAACAAACAGCATTTCCAAAGTTATTTCTTTACAATTCCATCAAATTGATGCATCTAATTGTTTTAA